ATTGTCAGTTTTACTGCCATTTTCTCGTCTTTACTTCCTGCAATTTGGTTTCTGCCCCAAATCCACCCAAAGCTTTTCTCCAACGGTCTCTCATGACCCCACGTTGCCCCATCTGGGTGACACTCACGACTCTGCTTCCTCTATAGTCTACACCTCCTCGGCCGCCCCCAACACGTTTGCCCTATTCTTGCAAGGTGCCTTCAGCTCAGCAGGTCCAGATCAAACTCATGTTCAGCCTCCAAAACTCGTTGCCCTTCCTGGGGCGTATTCTCTGTGTTGAGCAAAGTCTGGAAGCCTTGGAATCATCTCAGTTATGTCCTTCTCCCTTAGGGCCACATCCAGTCGCTTCCTGACTCCCACCCATCCGTCCATCCCTAACGTGAAACCCCCAGTCAGGGTCTACATTGCTTCTCACGGGGTCTGTTTGGACGCGGCCCTTGGCTTCACTCTCCATCCTCCGAGCCACAGAGAGCGTGGAGGACCCACAGCTAGGAGTCCCTCGCCAAGCGTCCGTGGCGCTTTCCTGCTGCCTGTGGAAGAAATCTGAGACTCTCTGGAGTGGTCTGCTTTTGCAAACTTCTCTCCCAGCACATGTTCCCCAGCACCATCCAGACCCCAGCCGCGCCGAGCAGCCCCGCCACCTCCGTGGTGGCCCGTCTGCAGATGCCCCTTTAGCACCATGCGTGAAGAAGGTTGGTGCCCACGTCTGTGCCCTCGACACAGGGAAAGAGAATGTGCCTCCTTCATAGCGCTGCCAGATTTAAGAAATAAAAACACAGGATTCCCAGTTAAATTTGAATTTCAGATAAACAGTGCATTCTTTAGTGTAAGTATGTCCCATTTGGGACATATTTGGACAATATTGGGAGCATGCTGATACTAAAGAAGCACTTGTTGATCTGGGATTCAAACCTGGCTGGGTGTCCTGTGTTTTACCTGACAGCCCTGTTCATCCATCTTGTCTTCCATCCCCAACTCTGTTCCTGGCACTCTGCTCAAGAAAGATCTGCAGAGTTAAGGGGATGGTGGGAGTGCCTTTCCGCGGAGGGGTGGCTGTTGAGTAAAATAATAAACACACGAGGAGCAGAGGAGGAGAACGGAGCAGTAAGTTCAAGCAGGGAAAGGAGGCACCCGGGGAGAAGTGCGGGGAGTGAGGTGGAAGCTCGTCCCTCCGCAGAAACATCACGGACGCTGCTGATGCACTGTGGACACGAGCCGTGTCTGCCCCAGGCTGCGTCCAAATGTGTGGAGTGAAGTGATTCCTCCAGGACTCTCCCAGCCTCTCAGTGAGCGAAAGAGCACCAACTCGGAGCCTTATGTATTCCTTCTCCAGAGCCTCCATAGAGGGCAGAAAGGGCCACGTTGTCCCCAGAGGGACGGTCTACACTCAGTCCCCCTGTGCTAAGTCCCCCCGTGTGACGTTAGGGTCTGAGTACCAGTATTATCACCTGCTGACACCCAGCTCAGAGCTTTCTCCACGTACAAAACCCAGAATGCCTGAGGCCTCGCTGTCACATGTGGGCGTCCGTGTGTCACCCCACACTGAAGGCGAGGGGTTTGTCCTGGACTCAGACCCCTGCTCCAGGGCCTTGTGGTGGTGCAACCGTGAGCTGTCTGGGGTCCCTATGCTGATCTGGGGAGAAATATGGACGTGTCGAAGTGCTCGAGGCAAGTGACGGGGGGCGGGGTCCAGTGTGAGCTCTCAGTGCGTCTCTGACTGCGTTCTTAAAAGGGTCTTTCTAGCACCCAACTCACGGAGCAGATGCCCCTCAGCTGCAGCCTTCTCCTTGTGTTGCATTTAGGAAGCTTTTGGTGGCACGTCACTGAAGTCCTGCCTGGCACTGGCTCAGAGCAAAGGCCATGCAGAGCGTGAAGGAGCAGAGCCCAGCGAGGGAGTCCTGGCCGGTGTGGTCCCCAGAGAAGGGATGCGGGGATACCCGACAATGTCCCCACCCGCAGTTAGGTGTGGACACGGTTTTCCGCTCAAAACCTGTGTGGAGGGAACAGGCCTGCCTTCCTCTCCTGCAACTCTACTCACAGCTTAGAGGACACTTTTAGTTTAAATATGGAAATAACCTGGGGAAAAAAACATTTGCTGAAATCAGCTGATTAATTGCGAGATTATGTGAAATGTGTACTCAGAGATGTTAGAATAGTTTCCATTTCATAGGAGGAATGTTACATACACACACGCACACAGTGTCTGTCGGTCCCCAGCGTTGTTTAGAATGTTCCGTTTTCCACTTAATGCCGTGGAGGAAAGAGGTTTCATATTTGCAGCCACTCCTGTCAGATTCCATTTGGGGAAACGGAAAGATGCCCCCTGTGTTTGGAATGAACACATTTAGTATGAAAACAATGTTTTCTTATATTTCTTCTTCATACAACCTGCATAGAATCCTGACCGCTTTTCCAAGGTGACGAGGACAAAGGGATGATTTATTTTGTCTAGACTTTTGAGTTATTTATGTGGATCTAAATAGCTAAATGCAGAGTCCTGGAAAGGCACGTATTTTGTTACGTAACTTTGGTTTTACAATGATCTGAAGTCACAGAAGAGGTTCGAGAGCCTAGGATTCAGCAAACAACTCTGGAACAATTTGCCGATGAAAGGAAAATACTAGGAAACCTATTACTCTCTTTCTTACAACGACTTTCTCGCTCTCTCGGTGTTCCTAATTAGGTGTCCAGCCTCATTTGTGCGTATATGACCGTCCAAGGTGGGCATCATTGCAAAGGGGAAAAAACTACAAAAAAGATATTTCCGTGTCATTCCAGAAAATTTTGTGTGGTCTCCTTTTCAAATTTTCTGAGCACCACCCGGTCTGCACAGGAATGCGTGTTTCCATCCCTGACAACTGGATGCCGAAGTAGGAATTATCAAGTTGAGGGAATAACGAGGGGCTTAAGGGAATTTAAAATGATGTGAGAATTGGGGACAGACTTCTGAGGAAGAGCCAGGGAGCGTCCTGGAGTGAGGTCCCTGCGGCCTGGGTGCTCTGCATGGAAGGAGGCAGCCCTGACCTCTCGTTCCTGGCCTCGATTGCGCCTCCCAATGTCAGGGCTGACTTTCAGTCTCCAGGCCTGTGATTTCTGAGTTCGCTGGCTTCTTGGGCGCTATATTACAAAATGCTAAACCATTATAACGAAAAAAATCTATTAAGCCTAATGAGGCTGAAGTTGGGGGGATTTTAAGCTATTTATAATAGACAGTAACGCAGAACGGGACCTTTTGGGTTCTCTACTTCTTTGACTCAGCAGCTGCGATCTTGGGTCCAAAACTGTGAATTCTGGAGCCAGACTGCCTGAGCCCAGAGTCTGCTCCTGCCCTTGGCTCTGTGTGAGCCTGGGTCAGCGACTCAGCGCTGCTGTGGCTCAGGCTCCCCATTTGCACAGTAAGGGTTATAAATGGCCCTGCCTCATGGGATTCCCATGAAGATCGAATGGGTTAGTACAGAGCAAAATGCCTACAAGGTACCCAGAACAGTGGGAGGCGGCAAATGTCAACTACTGTGAGTCTGTTTAAAAGAAAAAATTAGCTTTCTATAATAATGACTTTTTTTTTTAAGTATGCTTTTTGGTGAGGAAGATTGGCCCAGAGCTAACATCTGTTGCCAATCTCCCTCTTTTTTTTCTCTCCCCAAAGCCCCAGGAGGTGTTATACACCTGGTTTTAAAGCAGAAATTATAGTTATTTATAATATAAGTTATATTCCATTAATATATAAAAATATTGTTAATTTTAGCAGAAATAATGACTAAATCTATAATAAATGGGCTTTACTTAATCAGAACGTATAATCAAGTCCAATTTTTTCCTTTGCTGCCCTATTTTTAAAGAAAGGAGTAAATCACAGAGGAAACCATTTACGTTAAGAGTTTACTTTGAGGGGTTGGCCCCGTGGCCGAGTGGTTAAGTTCGCGTGCTCCGCTGCAGGCGGCCCAGTGTTTCGTTAGTTCGAATCCTGGGCGCGGACATGGCACTGCGCGTCAGACCACGCTGAGGCAGCGTCCCACATGCCACAACTAGAAGAACCCACAACGAAGAATACACAACTATGTACCGGGGGGCTTTGGGGAGAAAAAGGAAAAAATAAAAAAAAAAAATCTTTAAAAAAAAAAAAAAAAAAGAGTTTACTTTGAGAAGTGGGGAACACACTTAACCAGCTGACCCTGGAGTCAGAATCAGCAGCAGAATGTTTATAAACGTTTTTACACACAGACCAGTGCAGTGGTCCTATGTAATGGCCCCATTGTGATCCAAAAGAGGAAAGAGGAATCATTAATCATTTCTGTCCATATTATGCCAGTTTTTGATCAAATAAAATGAATTCTTACTATATTGTGAAAAAATCGTCACAAAACTTGACACGAAAGAGTTCAATTAGCCAGAAATTTAAGCAAAGCTGACCCCCGTCTGCCTGACATCCTCCAGGTTCCCCCATTCTAACACATTACGAAATGGCAAGAAGGGAGACCAGAGGACATTGGTTTTTAGGGGACTTTGGAAGGAAATGATCAGTCCTCTCGCTCCGTCTGCCTGTATTGCATAATCCAGACAACTCTGCATAAATTAAAACTGAGGGCGAGCCTTTCACTTTTTTTTGGTGTTTCTGAGTAGGTCAAGTTGCCAAAGGCTAAATGATCTTTGTAAGACTCTCCCAGGGTTTTGGCTCGAATTCGTTCCCTACAAGGCCGTGTGAGTTACCAGGCTTTCCGCACTCTTTGTTTTAATGTGGAATGATCCTAATTCCACCACCTGGCCATAAAAAGTCAGGTTTCAAAGCAGTTTTGTAAATAGCCTCCCCGGTGACTGTTAGGCAGTGCCTATTTGCAACTGAACCTCAAGAATATTTACATAAGGCGAGGCTCCATCAAAAGACTGACGTTCAGCTGGAAATTTGGACAGCCTCTTGGCGTTGGTCCCATAACCATCGCCTCTCTGCCCCTTCAGTGCATGTTCACGGAACGCCTTTTCTCTTCGTTTCTTTTTTCTTATAGCCAGAGCTACCTGCAAACTGCAAGCGACGTGCCCGCTGGTCACAGCCTGGACCCGTCTGCCGGCTACAACTCCCCGAAGTTTCGCTCCCGGAACCAGAGCTACATGCGAGCCGTCAGCACCCTGAGCCAGGCCAGCTGCGTGAGCCAGGTTGGGAACTCTCTCCCTCCCTTCTCCCTTGGGGTCTCTAAACCCGTGTCGTCACAGACATCTGCCTGCGGGGGAGAGACAGTGGCTCAGCATGTCTTAGGGGAGAGCCACGAGCAGACGTGAACTTCCTGCCTGGGATTATCTTGAAATGATTACAAACCCGTGAACTTTGTAAGACTCGCTTCCTGACATGCTTCCTGACATTTATGGCTCCGTCATTCTTACGCTGATCTCCTCTGAGTGGGGAGTGACTGATAGCTGCCCCTCTACCTCCTTTCGGGCTGTCTTCCTCTCCCAGAGGTTTCCCCCAATAAAAGGAGGGCAGGGGGAGAGCTCTGTGGGGACGGGGCTCAGACTGCAGTGGCTTTCCATCGCGTCCTCCAAACTGAACCCCTGAAGGTCCAGTAAGAAGAGCTGGAAACATGCTGTGGTGCTGCTGTCACCCAGACAACTGTGTTTGTCAGGCTCACAGGGCTTATTTCTCGCCAGGCACTGCAGCCCCAAGTAGGGTCCGGGGTCCCCAGGTGAATGGCGGTGTCTTAATCAGGCCCAGAGGCACGGCTGACTGACAGAAGGAGGAGCCCAGCACGCCTTCCCACACTGTTTTGAACTGTTGGAAGAATGCGCCACAGCAAAACGAGCAGTCGCTGGTACTTCTAACTGCCATATGTTGTAGGATAAATAAGAATTGCATTTTTAAAATTTTAATTAGACACGTTGCTTACTGATTTTAACTGCCTTTAAAAATAGTGCTTAAGCTAACCTGAGGTTTTCAGGCTCACTCAATGCTTTCTTCCACTTATTATAGAGTAGAGATTCTCAGCCAGAAACCTGGGCTCAGAACCCCTGCCTCTGGCCTCGGCTAGCTAAGGAGTCCTTAGCCGTGGTGAACTTCTCTCCTCATCAATGGAGAGAGTAACACCTGCTGTGTGGCCGTGCAAGGATAAATGACGTAACAGGTGCAATGCGGTAGCAGAGTGACAGAACACGTGTCTAATGAATTCTGGGTGTTATTATGTAAAGACCTCAGTGAATAATAAGCACTCAACAAACGATACCCATTATGATCACTAAAGTAATAATACTATTAGAATAATTATTAAAATAATCCTGGAACCCTGGCTGTGAGGGGGCTGTTGCACACCTGCATGGAGACTTGCGGTAATTCAGGATCAGCCCCAGGCCATTGTGACCTGCCAATTCCAGGAGGAGGAGGGCAATTCCCAGTGACAGAGGACGATGCATTGGAGATGATATATCTGGGAATCCGCCAGTGTCCTTGAGACACTTGAATTTAGTGGCTGAAGCTGTTAAAATTTCACTCTTTACCTTTAATGCTCAATTTTTTCTCCTGTGCAAAAATGAAATTAAAAGTCTAACAGGGGTCTTGTGAGATTGGCTTGTCTCTAAGCCGTTTCTTGATTTGAACTTTGTTAGTTTTGTTTTCTTTGAGCTCATGAACCTGGGAAGAATACGTTTAGGTGATTTAAGTGTTCTGGCCGATATCCTGGAATTTGCCAACAGTGAACATTTAGCATTGCACATGGAACTCGCACCCGCAGTTTGAACAAGTTCTTACTGACCAGCTGGAGGAATCGGATTTGCTCATTTACCATAAAATTTCTTACCTGGGGGAATCTCACTGAAAATGCTAGAAACTCACATTGGAACTATTGCTATTCGGGAACCGTCAGCAGATGACTCAGCAGCCCGGCAGCCCCTCGATCCTCCAGGCCGCGCGTCTAGAGCTCTCTGGGCCACTTAGTCATCACTGACCTTTCTCAGAGCTCTCTGGGACTCACCAATTTGTCAGTTCATCGAACAGGCCCCCACACGTCCTTTTCATTCTCAGAATGATGTTCCCTAAAGTTTCAGAGGACACAGCTGCGTTTTTCTTGTGAATTATGCTGCCCCATCTTACTCTTAATTTAGCGCCAGTGTTGTTATATATAGAAATAATCTACACGTTAAATGGAATAGTGCCCACATTTTTCATATCCCTTAAATGCACTCGGAACAGCAGACTTGAAGATGCTCTAACCTTCCCCTCATTTGATAAATAATAATGTAACGGTGGTGTGGTTTGCTGAGGCCTGCATCCACAGCCACTGCTCTGGGCTGCCCTGTCCATTACCATCATGAGGAGCCACCCCGTGGGGCATGGCCATGCCTTTCCCACCGGCAGACATGACACTCAGCGTTATTTACTGGAGCTCCTCCCGGCTGTGCTGGGACTGGGGAGACAGCGGAGTGAGACATATAGCAGCCATAAGGAACCAAGTCTCAAAGCAGTTACCTGTCTGACGCCAGATGGGGGCAGCGTGGGGATTCATGTCCCCCATGCCTGGCAGATCCCAAAGTCACCCGAGAGGGAGCAGAGGCACCAGCAGCCCTCTGCTTCCTGCCCGCCCTCCATCCCCTCCACACTGAGCGGCTTCCTTTCCCGCATCACATGCCCACTCCCCACGTGGAGGGTCTGAGTCCTGCCCCAAAGGTCACACAAATGTTGGCTGCCCAAATTTGCTGGTGCTTCTGGGGACACACAGCTCTTATCAGGTCCAGGTTTTTCCAGGCGAGTCAGCCGGAACACATCTGTCTTATTTTAGGTTGCAAAGTGGCGGGTGTGTCCAGATACGAGCTTCACTCTGTCCCCAGATCTTCCACTGGCTTCTTACTGCACGATGGGGATGGAGGTCGCAGAGGGAACAGACCGCAAGGGGACCCACTGAGGAGGCCTCAGCCGTGTTCCTACAGAGCATGGACCTGCTCCCTTTTCCCCCATTACAATGTATTTCTCGTCACCTGTTCAAACCCTAATTATCGTTTTATATACCTCCACACCCAACTCACAGTGTTTCTATGACCTAATGAACCTCTAGTGTTGACTGAATTTTTTCCTGCCATATTGGGGTTCACAATGTGGCCACTTTGTGTGTGCGAGCACCTGTGACGGTTTCACTGACAGCTCACAGGGCGAAAGATGGAAACCATTCTGGAGGGCGAGTGCAGAACAAGCGGGCTGCCATCCGGGTCCCCCGATCTTATCTTCCTGGGGGCGGCATCTCTCACCTGCCCCAGGGCTCAGCCGGCGGACCCTGCTGGGGTCACCGTCACTGTGACGGGCTCCACATTGACCTTGTTTCTGTCCATCAGCAATGGGGAGAATTCCGACCACCTGAGCCGTTTTCCGGGAGCCAGACGAGCTCAGGGATGTGGCAGACGGACTGTGCGGAGGGCGGCGGTGCTGGAGACCCGCGTGGACCAGGAGGCCACCCTCTGCGTCCTCATGGCAGGAAAGACGTCCGCCTTCCTCACAGTTTCAGATCGTGCCATTGTCTCGTTCTCTTTCTTTCTCTTTAAAAAGGTGTTTCCCCATGATCACAGCCTCTCTTTCTGTCATGCATCCTTTTTTTTAAGTTGTGGTAAGATATACGTAACATGTAATTTGCCGTCTTAACCATTTTTAGGCACGCAGTTCAGTAGTAAGTACGTTCATGTTGTAGTGCAACCGTCACCCCATCCACCTCCAGAACTTTCCATCTTCCCAAACTGAACCTCTGTCCCCGGGCAACACTCACTCCCCACCCCCTCCCCCAGCCCCTGGCCCCCCATCTACTTCCTGTCTCCGTGGATGTGACTCCACTAGGGGCCTCAGATAAGTGGAATCCACAGTATTTGTCCTTTTGTGTCTGACATTTCACTGAGTATAATGTCCTCAAGGTTCATCCATGTTGTAGCTTGTGACAGAACTTCCTCCCTTTTTAAGGCTGAATAATATTCCATTGTATGGATGGACCACATTATGCTTACCCATTCACCTGTTGACGGACACTTGGGGTGTTTCCACCTTCTGGCTCTTGTGAATTATGCTGCTATGAACATGGTGTCAAGTATCTGTTCGTGTCCCTGCTTTCAATTTTTGTTCATAGCTACCCAGAAGTGGCGTTGTTGGATCATATGAGAGTGCATGTTTATTTTTTGAGGAACCTCCACACTGTTCTCCACAGTGGCTGCACTGAGTCATGTTCCCGGCAGGTATGCTCCAGGGTCCCATCATCTCCGCATCCTCCCCGTGTCGCGCTTGCTCCGTAAATGTCGTCTGTCGTGACCTGGGAGAGGCCCACGCTCAGCTTTGTGTAGAGCTCTCTGCCGCAAGCTGGACAGTCTCCCTTCCCCCCTCATCCCTTCCCCAATTTTCTCTGCTTTGTGCTGATATCTAGGAGCAGTCCTAGTTGCGTTTCTGCATTTGTGGTTCACAAAAGAAGAAGTAAGATGCTTTGAGCCGCACTGGCTGCTTCCATAGCTCACCCCGTTAGCTTCCTATCCCTGCGGGACGTCTCCAGGAGGCTGAGTCATGGTGTGAGTTCCCACGTAAAATTATATCCACTTCTCAAAATCTCCCTCGGGTTCAGTGCACAAATCAGCTCCCGGAAAACAGATTATTTCAGTTACTTTCTAGACCAATTTGAGATCCTTCTCAACTACTTAGTATTTGTTTGGGGAAAAGTCATCTTCATTTCCAGAACCTTGCTGATAGGTTTTTGTTGCTGGAAGCACCAGCCAAATGGTCCTTACTGAAATTTTAATCCTGTGTTTGTAAAATGCACGTACAGGTTTGACAGCTTCTCTTCTTAGAGGGGAGAGCTCCTGTGCCTGGGTGGGTTTGCAGAAGGTGTCCACTGAAACCCCACATCCGGGTGCTGGCAGACGGGGCCACATCCCTCAGAAATGGGCCTTTTCAAGTGTCTAATGTGGATCTTTGGCATAAATGACAAACCAATCTGAGGCTTTTTGATGTAATTCCGTATCAGGGGAAACTTAGATCGAAAGAAATTTGTAGTCCAGAAAATGCCGTATTTCAGGGGTTTCTGATTCGGTTCCTTCACGGGGTACCTGCAGCTCCCATGACAGGAGCTTGTGGTCTGTCTTCCCTCTGAATTTGTCTGTCTCTGTCCAACATCGGGAACCCTCAAACCGTTTGGATGAATGCAGGGCCCCTTCATCTTTCTCTGCTCTTTTTTGCCTGCACAACCTAAATGTTCTCTTTCTTACACTGTGGCGTCAGGCAAACAGCCCTGCCTTTGAGTCTCCTCGGCATCCTGATCCATCATCTCCAGGATGGTGACTACTTAGACTCGCTCGCCTTTGTTGAGTGGGAGAGCCATTCTTCTAGCATGTAAATAATCAGGAAAACCAGAGAAGTCGTGAAATAATCTCAGGGAAACCCAGGCAGCCGGAAGCCGTGTGCAGGTCCATCAGGCACAGGGAGGCAGGCAGAGGGTGCCTGTTTTATTTTCCCTATAAAAGAGGAAAGTGGATTCTTCTGCCTGTGTTTACTCCGTGAACAATTAGAGGAGGGGAACTAATCTGGGGTTTAAAACAATGCTTTTCTATTTATCTGCCAACATAACCCCGGCGTTGAGGATGTTGTCAGTGACATCTTAGGCATTGGGATGGCACAATCCGAGGTGGCAGCCTGAGCCGGGGCTGGGGTCGTGGGGATGTGGCGGGAAGAGTGAGTCAGTGCGGGACAGCGGGGGCCGGGTTTGGACTAGAGGATCCAGCTGGCCGTGGGGACGCGTCCAGGTTTCGGGCTTGGGCTCCCCAGTCAACTCAGGCAGGAGGGATGGGCCAAGGAGATAAGATGGAGGGAAGGAGGAGGCCATGGGTGTGCTGTGCCTGCCACCTCCCCCAGCTCTGACTCTGCTCACCTCCACGTGCCTGCTCTCCACCAGCCGCAGCCCTTGCTCATGCCTCTCGCGAACAAGCATCCGGGACCTGCTCACGTAACATGCTCCCAAGGGACATACCCAAATGTAAGAGCACCTGGGAGGGTCATTTGTCAAAGCCCCAAAGGCGTCCATCACCCCCTGGAGCCGCTAACTGCTGCCCGCTAACCATGGGCCTCTCGTCCTCAGGATTGTGGGCAGCTACATGTTACCTCTCCAGTTTCAGCTTCTCGTTCTTAAAATTCTCATTTCTTCTCCCATCCTGTTCTCTTCAACCTTGTTTTAGCAGTATGTTTCACTTTATTGGATTTCCATTTGAAACCTCTAGATTTGGCTCACCGGAAACACATGAGTATTTCCATCTAGCAACCTCAGGAAAAGCGTGTCCTCCCAGGGTCATCGACCCTGCGCAAAGGCCCTTCCACCCACCGACGGTCAACCCCGTGTGTGCATGCCACTTGAGATCCCCGCTCTGTTCAGAGCCTGGATAATTTTTTTCAAATATAGTTCTAATTTTTGGGCTCCCAGGTTGATGGTATACCCAGAAATTAAATCTCAGGCTTGAAAATAACTACTTTACCTGCTAAGTTATCAAATGAAGTGAATGCACTAACTCAGGCTGAGGAAGAAAAAGAACAAAACTGGAATTTAGGTGATGCCATTGTTGCCTGTGGGCAGGCACAGCCGTCCAGCCATTCCCCTCTCCTCTGGACTCGGGTTTATGCTGCCCCGTGGGGAGAAGGATAGGAGCTTACTGACAAGTTTGCTGTTGGTTTCCAGGACCATGAGTAGAAGAGGACTAAAGCTAGCTTCCCCTACTTAAAGTGTGTTCATGTACTGGCCTCGACCCCTGGAGCCGCCTGGGCTCTAAACAGCTGGGGATGGGTCATTCGGAAAACACAAAAAGAGGGAAGGACTAACATTTTGAACAATTACTCTGTACCAGGTATGGTGCTAAACTTTTAAACACGTTCTCTCTCTTAAACTTAGTAATAACTGTCAGCTGTCCTTTAAAGGTTTGCCTTGTGGGTCCATCGAACTTCAATGACGTCTTGGAATTGGCTGTTTACCTTAGTGTTTTGTAAGTAACGACCTAATAAGCTATTTCCCAAGCTTGACAGGTTCCCAGTGCTGATTCGACCTAACTAGGCTGAAAACGTAAGCTTGGGAGTGAAGATCGGGGTGAATATTGTTCTCTCTTGTGTTGTGACATGGCCGTCGTCACCCGGCTGGATCCCGCCGTCAGCTGTGTCGTTCTTGTTCCAGATGAGTGAGGCGGAGATCAACGGGCAGTTCGAGTCGGTGTGCGAATCGGTCTTCAGTGAGGTCGAGTCTCAGGCCATGGACGCCCTGGACCTCCCCGGCTGCTTCCGGACGAGGAGTCACAGTTACCTTCGAGCCATTCAAGCTGGTTACTCGCAAGATGACGAATGTATTCCCGCGATGACGCCCTCCAACATCACCTCAACCATCAGATCCACAGCAGGTAGGAGCATGCCCCTTCCGACCTTCCGAGCGAAAAGTGTACAGGTGTGCCTGAATCCTCGTCCTAGAAGGCGCGGGGCGCACCTGTACCGCGGGCACAATTTACTCTCCAGACGTTTGGTTACTTTTCCAAATTGTGTTTGTTACATTGTCGTATTTGCAATGATGTTCTGAAACATTTCTTTCATAACCTTTCTTTTTCTTAGAATGAAATCTATTACTTATCAAGCTTCTTTAAGATAATCAAGTATAACTTTTGTAACATTTTGTATCGGAAAAAAAAATTTAAGTGCTGACATTTGGAAGGTGATTGTGTTTTAAATATCAAAGTTTAATAGATTGCAGTAAAGCTTCAGCTGATGAGCACTGATGCCAGGCTCCTTCGTAGTGCTGTCCAGCCTGAAGCTCTGTTGCTCGGTAAGCAGATCCATAAACATGATTCATTGCTGCAAAGCAGATCAATCATAAATGTAAATTCACTAATCGTCTTAGGGCTCAACAGATTCAATGTCACAGTTTCCTTCAGGTCTTATGGAAAACCGTATCCACCCCTTTGAAAATTTACCACCTAAACTAAATATCACTGCCTAATATTTCAGTGCACTATTATTTTTTATATAACACAATGAATATGCATGGCCCAGAGAAACCCATAAAACACAGCATGTGATAAAAGCTGCCGAGCTACCTAGAAAGGCCAAGCAGGGAAGCTCGAAAGCAAGCGATGTTGAGCGAGCTGATCTGAGTGTTAGCAAATTCGGATGCTGCGGACGTGTCAGAGGTGTTCGGGGACAGTTCTCAGAAGAAACAGAAAGAGCATGGTTCCCGATAACAAGCGTTAGGAACAGAGTGGGGAAGACAGTGGAAGTTCGGGGAGAAGTGTGTCCCCATCCCGTAGACACAGCGTGGTCTGTTTCAAAGCTGAGGCATTTAGTGAGAATTTGGGGAGATGACACGTCCTTACAGGTTGCAGAGCTCGTGCTGCCCTCGTGGCACTTTGGGAGGAAAACATATTGTGGTTTAGCCCTGGATGGAACAGGATACACTGGCTTCAAACCTTGTTCCATCACGTTATCACTCGGAGGTCTTAGCCACATTAACCTTCCTGACTCTTGGTTTTCTGAGGTGTTCAAAAGAAGCAATAGCTATGAAAAATGTGTCAAGGAAACCTGATCACTAGTCTTCAGAGAGAGCTCTGGGTCCTCTTGGTCTTTTCATGATGCTTTGTGGCACCATGATGGTCCCCTGATGGCTAAGCCTTGGGGCCTCAGAAGAAGTGTCCTGGATCTTGGCGCTCAGCTCAGCACAGCTCTGTGGGAACCGACAGGGCGGTGCTGGACCTGTTCCGTGGGACACCTGCAGGACTGCCAACATCCTGCAGGTGCCACCGAGGGGGCGTGGTGGTCTGTGGTGGGGGGTGCTCAGTGTCTGGCTCTCCCCTCTGCTGTCCTCTCCCACTTGCTCCCTCCTCTCGGCGGCGTCCTGGGCCGCCTCTCATGCTCTGCCCTTGGTGAAAATGAAACGGGAAAAATGAGCAGATCTGAAACCGCGGGAAGTAACGAGCTTTACAATCACAGTGTTTTAAGAAACACTTTTGGAGATCATTACGGATAAATTCGCCAATATTTGTTGAGTGTCTCTTATGAGCAAGTGACAATTAAGCACTTGCATGATCTTCAGAAATGCTTTGGAACAATAATTACCTTGTCGAAAGTGACTTTATTGTTTTTAGAGCTGTCATCATAGGGAAAATAAGAAGAAAACAGAATTGGTAGAGAGAATACAAGAACCGGTGCCGAATTCAGACTACAGTTCTAATTTATGTACATATCTTACCGAGTACATTCGTGTAGTCTCAAAACGTATGCACCAAATAAATTACAAAAAGTGCTTCTCTTCAAAGTTTCTGCTGGATCTTGGCCTGGTTATTGAATACAAATTTCCTCTAGACGGTTGGGGGTGGGGGCAGAGTTCGGGAACAGCCTGCGAGTCAGATGAGAGAAGAAATGGAAGACGGTGAGTGGGGCTGCTCAGCATGTCGAGGACGACCGGCCATTCTGAGGACATGAGCCAGGTACATCAGTTCCTGCCTTTGCCCGATTTACTCTGAGCATCGCCCACAAAATGTTTATAATCTTTCTTCCTTAAGCAGAACTGAGATGGCATGCAGCAATAGGGCCCTTGATAAGACTGCGAGAGATACCACGGAAATGAAAAATATCTGGAAAAACACAGGAAAACGAAAGTGTGGATAAAATCTCTCTACCCATCCCGGCTGTGAACACCTACTCCTTATCAGACCTGACCTTCCTGTTCGACTCAGAGCATCCTGTCCTTGAGGCAAAACAGGATTTTCATAATTTTGTGTCAAAACATTTGGAGGATCATAAACTAACATTTAATAGCTGTCCTTTGTTGATGTGTGTGTGTGCGCGCGCACACCTGCACAGAGAGAGAGAGACGATTTTGACAAATTGATCTCCTTTTCTGGTTCTAAAACTGGCTCTTGAAAATAATCCGAAAAAAGTTATTTTCAAAAAATATTCACACGATTTTGAAGAATAAGATTTATTTAAATATGGGGGCTTTTTTGCATGCTTGAAAAGTAGAAGTTGGTGTTTTTATATTGTCTCGCCTTGTATAAATGCAAATATATAATTTTAATATTCATCTAGTAATAATTAAATATCAAATATATGCATGAAAGGTTTGTTAAGAGTTTTTAAATATGTATCAGGCATTCAGTTTTAAACCTGGGCGGGTTGATGCCGCCAGCGAAGGCTGTGCTTGTCTCGGGGACTCGAGTCCAGTTGTTCACCCCTCGGTCCTTAAAGGCTTGTGGTGATCCAGCTGAAACAGGCCCTTTTTCTCTAATCTCCAGGGAGCTCGACAGGACGAGAATACACTGCCAGGGAGGATGACCCACGACCAGAAGCGTTTCTCCACCCCGCTGTTTCTTTCATTACGGAGAACTCTGCATATTGATTAGTGTTCTCTCCTTAAGTGAAGTGGTTTTGAAAACATCTAACTTTCATTTCACACATGGTTTCTTTCTCATCTGTGAAATGATTTATCAGATAGATTTACTTGTCTCAATATGCATTTCGCCCGATTTTCCCAGGGAGGGAGCGTTATTGATATCGTGGAGGAAAATGCTATAAAATTAGATTATAATGATTTTTCTCTGGGTCAAAAATTTTCTCAGCATATGTCACAGCTGATTCTAGAAGTCATTAAAACAAAGGGAAAATCCATACAAACCCTGACAGAGGAAACAGCCATAAACTTATTTTTATTTTATTGTTCATATTTCTATAGCGACTTGTTTCTCTAGGGTACATCATAATTTCCAGTTTCCAAGATAGCCTCCAGCTTCTAGAATTTGGCTGCCTTCCTGGTCTCCTGGCCACGTGACTCCGACCGTCCCCCTCATCACATCTCCTTCTCTGACTCTGCCCCTCTGGCCTTGCGAATATCGGGTCCTGGTGATTACACTGGGCCACCGACACAATCCTGGGTAGTGTTCCCATCTCTGGACCCTGAACTTCCATCGCATCTGCAAAGTGCCTTTTGCCATGTAGGGTGACATGGCCATAGGTTCCAGAAATTAGGACGTGGACATTTGGGGGAGCCCTTAGTCTGTCTACCATAATAGGATTTCAACAAATACTGGTTGAGTGCATGAGGGAATAAATGAATGAATGAATAAATGAAGTCTTCTCTGAAGCCAGGCCACGTGTCAACATTGATCTACTCGCAGACAGACAGAAGAACGGGGAGCCTGTTACCCTCCCAGGCATGCTAAGCTAATCCTTGTAATAAATTCAAGTTCGTGCTGATGATGTCAAACAAGTCCAGTGGAGGCCGCCAGGCGGGTGTCCCCTGTGGCAAGGTGGGAACCGCGTGACGAAGGGCAGCCTCTTCCTCCAAGCTCTCCCGGGGTCAGATACTGCCCGAGTCCTGGCTCTGCCCTGCATCGCCGCATCAATCTATGTTGTCATTCAGGCAACAGGAAAATGATGACGTCACACATCCGTCAGCCCGGAAGCGTCCTAGCAAATGGCCAAGTGGTCCAAGATGTCCCCGTGGTTGTCATGGTCACCGTGAGGACTTCTCCTCAGAAGACAGCAACAGTGGTGGTTTCCGTGAACCCCTGAGAAGGCCGCCCTGGAGCTCTTTGTCCTGACACGGAGCCCGGTCGTGTCTTTAAAGGACCCCATTCCCCGTGCCTGGAGTTTAGAGACGGATTCACAACTAGGGCGTCTGCCTCTTGATGAGTCTGACCACAGCGCTGAGCTCTGTGAAAGGTGGGAAAAGGTCTTTGCAGGAATGCTACTTGGTGCTTCTCCTCTGCGTGCAGACTTGCGTTTTAGAAGAAGTCAACATACGCAGCCTAAACATCTAAAAGATAAAAAATAGTCGTGTGATTTTAATTGCCCGTGATTTCTTTCAACTATAATCAAAGAATCATCTACCGCCTTATGCATTTATGCTCCGGACCTTCAAGATAAGTGAATGAAAGACAGTCTCCGCCCTCAGGACCAGTGAGAGAAAGTACACGGAAGGGGGCCTGAGCCTAGAGGAGTGAGACCTGAGTTTACCTGGCTGCAGGCGGGGCCCCCAGGAGTGATAGGGGGCGTTGTGGGGGTTGGGGCAGGAGACCCTGGACTGAGTGTAAAGAAGGAGTAGGAGTGAGCCAGCGTCCAGTGGCGATTCCTAAGAGTAAAATACGTACCTCTCTGGAATAAACGTGGTGGAATGGGCTTCCTAATTCTCAGAAAGAGTGAGCTCCGCAGACAAGTAGTCGATTTGTCCAAGGAGCTCCATGTGTGAGATGGAATTGCTCAGGTGGGGACAAACATGCTCAGAAGATTCTCCCCAGGTGTGCAGCCTGCTCTTTCCTTCAGAACCACCTGTTTTCACGTAATTCATGTCCCTCTCTTAGAAATGGCCACTTACATAGAATGGGAGAAGAGTGTAAACGCTGATGGTCATGAGGTT